TGATGTGATCCCATTTGTTTATTTCCTCTTTAGTTTCCATTGCCCTAGGAGCTGTATCAGTGAAGATATTACTTCAGCATATGTCTGAGATTTTTCTGCCTGTGGATTCCTCTAGTATTTTTATTGTTTCCTATCTTATATTTAAGACCTTTTACCATTTTGAGTTTATTTTTGTGTATGGTGTAAGTTGGTGGTCTAATTTCATTTTTTTTTTTTGCATATATCTGTCCAATTTTCCCAGCACCATTTATTGAAGAGACTGTCTTGACTCCATTGTATGTTCTTGCCTCCTTTGTCAAATATTAATTGAGCATTGTGGTTTGGGTCGATTTCTGGGTTCTCTATTCTATTCAATTGGTCAAGATGTTTATTCTTGTGTCAGAACCAGGCAGTTTTGAGAACCGTGGCTTTATAATATAGCTTGATATCTGGTATTGAGATCCCTCCTACATTGTTCTTCTTTTTCAGGATTGCTGCAGCTATTTGAGGTCTTTTTTTCCCCTAGATGGCTTTTTTGGAGAGTTCATTCTAGGTCTGTGAAATATGCCATTGGTATATTAATGGGAAGTACATTGAATCTATAGATTGGTTTGGGTAGTATGGACATTTTAATGACGTTAATTCTACCAATCCATGAACACGATATGTTCTTTCATCTGTTTATTTTTTCCTCTATCTCTTTTTTCAGTGTCCTGTAGTTTTCCACATATAGGTCTTTTACCTCCTTAAGTTTATTCCTAAATATCTTACTTTTTTTGGTGTGATGGTAAATGGGATTGTGTTTTTAATATCTATTTCTGTAAGTTCACTATTGGTGTATAAAAATGCCATAGATTTCTTGGTGTTAATTTTGTATCCTGCTACATTGCTGAATTTATTTATTAAGTATAATAATTTTTTTAATGGAGTCTTTAGGGTTTGCTATGTACAGTATCATGTCATCTGCGAATAATGACAGTTTTATGTCTTTTCCATTTGAATACCTTTTATTTCTTCTTATTGTCTAATTGCTATGGCTAGCAATTTCAGTACTATGTTCATCATCTTAATTGTGAAAATGTTTTGACTCTAACTCAGCCACTTATCTAAAGAGCAAATTAAAATAATATTTTGTTACCCAATTAAAAATTTCTGTGGTTTTATTATTTAAAAAAAACCAAAACATTTGGATGGTTCTCTTTTCCATGAAGTTGCTTTTAGTTTATTTCCAAATGGTGTATGGTATATTCTGTTTTTATAGCTGAAATTATCCTAAAATTCATTAATTATTTTGTAGACATCACTTTTCTCAATAAAGCCCAACATAGTCATAATGTGAATAAATTATAATATTGATTACAGTTAAACATTGTATTTTCAATAACTTTATTTATATGGTTTCCTTTATTTAAAAGATCATCTTGAAATGAGTGATGTATCCATAATAATTATAGTTAACTGTAATAAAAATGAATAATTTCCAGTTGGTGGTTTTGATAATCATGGATCAGCACCTGGAGCAGGTTTAGTGCAGAGTAGGAGTTTAATAAACACTTGTTAAATCAATCTTTAACATGTTATTGTTAGTACTTTCAATTTTATCTAATTTTTCTGGCCTCATAAAGTATAGACATCAGTTCTCAAGCCACTAAATTTTATCTTAGAGAAGAAACCAATAGAAAAGAAGACAGATATAGTATCTTCCACATGTTCCAATATTCTGAAGTTTTAAAAGTTCATGATTTTACATGCCAAGTATACTTAGGTGAGTGTTGCTGATTTGATCTTTGTTCTTTTTCTCTTCTTTTGTAATATTACAGCTTCTACAATACAAAGGTCTCAAATAAAAAAAATCAAGCTACAAAATTTAGACTATGACAATATTTAAGAAAAATGCAAAAAGGGCACTGGTAGATTTTTAAAAACTATTTTAATACAAGAGTAATAGCAATTTTCTATCCAAATCAGAAATGAAAAATCTTAACCCAAATAATATTCCTTTGACAGTCACATAAAATTTTAGGTTTGATTGGTGCACACATTTTATCCTTCATATATATTACGCATATGCACGCAGAGACCTCACTATTAGCCATCGTTAGGTTTCTTTTCATGGACATACCTCCTTGCAAAGCAAGGTCAAAGATTCCAGGAACTATTCAACTTTGAATGAAATTCACATGAACCCATGCTAGTCTGAGTTCTCATGTTGTAGCAAATCGTGATATAGCAAGGCTACAGAATGCATACAAATTGATACTCTATTTGTATAATTTGGCCTAAAACTAAACACTGGCTAATGTCTCCATGGAGGAGGAACACATGGCAGATTTATAAGTTATGGTCTCCTTTACTTTTCTGCTGGCAAAGCTAAACTACCATTTGTTTGTTTGCTTGTCTTATTAAAGTCAGGTCTGTTAGTGACTGTAAGTAAATGAAAATGAGTTTGAATTTCTGCAAGTTGTAGGTAAGTCAAAACTTTCATTTGCTAACACTTCCACTTTTAATCAAACCACTTGACAATTAGCCTTGCAAACAGAAGTAACAAAAGAATCACAACTCAGGAATTTGCTAAGATTTTATTCCTCCTTGGGGACTTTAGTTGGTGTTCAGTGTGTAGCCAAAACATGAATGTAATGGCTAAAGTATTAAAGTAGGCTAATGTCTGCAGCAGGGAATATAAATTAAATATCAGGGTTCTGCGACCAATAATATTTTCAGTTTGAGTTATAGAATGCCACTTTTATAATTAATACGGCTTGTCAATGAATAATAGTGTTTCTCAGTGTAGACAAGTAGTATTTTCTAACCCTTACAATTAAAACAGGTCATACAAGATACTTATCTGGATAAGTCACTGTAAGGGAGTCAGATTGCTATTGCTAAGGTCATTCGAGGAAGGCTACAATCCAAGTGCCAGCTTGACCTTCATTAAGAAGACAGAAGGTTGTCATGGCTGTCCTTCAGTACAGAACCATAGCAGAGCTCTAATTCATGAATTTGTAACTCATTCTTCTCTGCTAAAGACTTTAGCCTCTGTTTAGCTTTTGTTGTAACATATACAAAGTATAATATACACCAATTACAGACGTGTATTTCTGTTAGAAAAATACATATTATAACTAAACATGTAAATAGAGGCACTTCAATAAGCTAAGTGTTTGCAGATATGAGCATCACCCAACAAGTTCTAGTTCCGACTTCAGTGAGCCCATCCCTCTCTACCTGTAACAGAGGTTATGATGTCATTATAGAACTTAGGAGACATCAAAGCCAAGAAGTCAGGTCATGAAAAATAATGCAGCATCATTGCTTCCCCTATCACAATGCTTAAATGAGAGAAATTAATTTGGTCAGAGGTGGGGTGGGGGTGAGATGAGGTTCCAAAGTTCTTCTGAAATGGAGTAACTAGATTAAATCTCATGTTAAATTAGTCTGAAATCATATGAAATATTAGAATGATGATAAAAAACAGAAAGTACCATTTGAATAATTTTGACCACATTCATGCAGGTGACTAATATTGTGGCATCATTAACTGATAGTCATTTCAGCTCTCTGCTTGGCTCAGATGGATCACTACATCTAATCAGTATGAATACTATTAATAACTAAGGGGTTGAAATAAATGAAGCAGGTGTTTATATGTTATCTGTGTGTTTAGTGTGTACAGAACGTGGGTTCAAATTCATTAATATAATGTGTACTCATACACATGCACAAAACAATTTTGGGTGAAAACACAGGGAAAACAAGGTATTCTGATCTATTTCAAAAAAGACAATGCAGACACATTTAAAAAAGTAAAGACTTGAAGTTTAAAGCCATAAAAACAAATTATTACTCAAAATTCTGTCAAACCAAGGTTGATTTAATTTGTATTGCACCTTAATTATTCAGAGAAAGACAATACTGACTTCTGAACATACAATGACGTGAGCAACATAAATTGGTCCTTTGTAGAGATATTTTATGTGAAATTGGTGACCGAAAGCCAAAGTTTGGCAGTGAAATGTTTTTCTAGAAGTATGTAATGCTGAATTAGGTTAAATGTTAATTTCATAAAAATGTTAATGAAAAGATGCCACAAAGTCTCTCAGAATTCTACATTTCATATTTCGTTAGGCATACTATAGCAACAGATGCTTCTAAATACTTTCAGTTTTGCAAAAGTGCTCAATTATACTTAATACTATTGTGCCGCATATGCTCTACTTAAATGCGATGACTAAATCAATAACTAATTATAATTTTGATTGAGGAAGAGGATTGAAAAATACCATTTACATGTCATTACTGTCAATGGGTTAATTAACAGTGACTGGTATACTATTGTGTCTTAAAACATTACTTTTCCCAACCCCAGATGCATCATAAAAACCAAGAAACACATGGATAGTCAATGTATTCATAAAGCCCCAGTTTGGTTTATTTTGCTTCTCTCTGTCAGGGGAGCACAGGGCCTTGCTTTGGCCCACTTGGGTGGACCAGTTAGGCTGTGGCTCTAAATTGGCCTCTGGTGTTAGGACATTTTCTCAAGTGCCAGGTTGGAATCCTAGGCTGAAGGCATTGTATGTGAAAACAATGGTTTTGTGTGAATAACACATTCTTTACCCATACAGTTTCCATCACCAGTAATGTCCTACATACCCATGGCTCTCTCCATGAGCTCGGTACGGTCTGGAGCATCCAGGACATAGCACGCTCATGCAGAAAGGGTGTGCCCTGGCAAACTTTTATTAAATGGACAGTTAGATACGTAAAAAGGTCTCTTTCTTGATTCTTGGTGCTCACAGATCATTGAAGAATCCCTTCTCTGAGCAGCACAAAACAAGAAGAGCTGGTTGACAAAACATTTTTGTTACAAAGGTGTGTCAACCCTGAGCTTGGAATTAAGAAGTTAAAATCTGTGATTTATATATATATAGATATAAAAATAGATGATCATACTAAGACTAAAAAAGTGAAAGAAATCTCCATGTCAATACTATATATATATATTTTTTTGTCTTGACTTATTTTGTTGTGAGTTGTTTTGTAAGAGAATGCCCTTGTGATGCAGAAACCAATTGACACAAAGGAAATGGCTAAAAATGAAAACTCACTGATGGGTCTAACTGCTTGTCAGTTCACTAAAATAAATCTTCATTTGGGAGGTAATGAGCACAGGGGCAGAAACCAAATTAATGGCCAACCTGTGACTAAAACAAGGCGATTGCATTTGTTGATGATTATTTTCAATTCAGATCCTTGAGGAGGACTAATTGATGGGGATGTCCACTAGTAACTAAAGATGAAGGGGAAAATCTGTGCCAATTGGATCCAGTGGACAGACATTAAGAGAATTGAGGAGAATGGTACCATTACTGCAACTGAAATTGGTCAGGGTGAGGGAGGTGCTGAGTTGTAGCAATATTTTGTGTCATTTTAAAGGTAGAATTCAAATTTAGTACCAGTACCTCTAAATCACTTTGGTGCTACATGGTTAGAATGCAAGACGATACCTCCAAGACAACAGTGTATTTTCACTTCACTAAAAATATTTTAAAACTTTCTCTCCATAGCATTTTTTTTAAAAAAGCTGAACTAGTCACAGAAAAGCTTACACTGGGAGTTGCCTGGTGATATTGAATTGATAGTGTTAGAGCTCTTTTATTTTTCTCTCTGGCTTGCTTCTTTGTTGAAAATGCAGTTGTCTTGGGGTTTGGCCTGATTTTATGAAGAACATTATTTCTACTTTTTTTTTTTTTTTAAGTTGTTATAAAGCAGGGATGGGGACGACTCACAACGTGAGATTCCTTTACTTCTGCAGCATAAAAGCAAATGAAGGTAAGAAAATCTCCTGGTACGAAAGATTTGAGTAAGAATTCTCTAGAATAGACAAGGTCCCCACAGATAGCAAAGGAAAGAGGAAGCAGTCCAGTCTGACACCCGGTACTCTTTGGGAAAACAAAAAGGGAGGCAGAGTGCAGTACTGCTCTTCTCATAGAAAACGGTAAGTTTTTGTGGCATGGTCCATTGTCCAAGAGTGTAAGAAAAGAAGTGAGTTGGCTGTTCAAATAGCTAAAATGCAGTTTCATCTGACCAAAAACCCAGGATTATCTGCACAGTCTCTGCAGTGCCAGGACAATGCAGACGAGACACGCTGAGAGCAGGGAGTGGCTGAGGTGGGCTGCAGAAGAGTCTACTTCTCTCCGGTCGGGATCTACAGCAGGGGCCTCCGTGGTGACAAACTCAAACTCCGTGGGACACACGTCATCCATGCATCCACTGCCACTCCCTGAGCCACTGGATTCATCACCTGGTGTGGACAGATTGACAAAGAAAGTTAGACCACAACCTGGAAAGATGGGAGGTATGCAATGGAATTGAGCATGGTGGTAGAAGGGGACATTTCCTCACCCAAGGGTCCCCCACCCCATCTCAACAGGTTTGCTTTTTTTATTTTATTTTATTTTATATTTGAGAGAGAGAGAGAGAGAGGGAGAGAGAGAGAGAGAGAGAGAGAGAGAGAGAGAGAGAGAGAGAGAGAGAGAGAGAGAGAGAGAGAGAGAGAAACATCATCTATTGGCTGTCTCCTGCACATCCCCTGCTATGGATTGAACCCACAACCCGGTCATGTGCCCTAAACTGGGAATCTAACTGGTGACCTCTTTGTTCATAGGTCAATGCTCAACCACTGAGCCACACCAGCCAGGCTTGATTACTATTTTTTATCTCTGTTTCCCCTAAGATTAAGGATAGACTTTGTCTTAACCAGCCTCTCCCTTTAAATCAGGTATTGATTAATGATGGCTTGAAGGCTGATTTGGCCTGCTGCTTGGTTTTATATGGCCCACAACTCAAGAAAGATTTTTATGTTTTCAAGTGTTTGGAAAAAAATCAAATGAAAAAATAATACTTTGTGACATGTAAAAAATGTGTATGTGAAATTTAAACCTCAATGTCCATATGGAAAGTTATAATGGAATGTAGCCATATAATACATGGTTTAATTAACAATTACACATGGTTTAATTCTGTGTTCACACATGGTCCTCAAAGCTGCACATGTTTAATATCTGGTCCTTTACAAAAAAAGTTTGCCATTTCTTGCTTGAAGCCAAAGCCCAGGTGCCCAAACAGTATGTGGTCTTAGTGCAGTACATTGCTTGCCCAGCATGCCTCTGGGCCTGTTCTTTTCCCACTTCTTACTGCTTTGTTCTTCCTGTTTCGTAAACACTGTGTTTCAGACCTGGGTCCCAGATCAGGCTCCATCAATTACTAGCTGGTGAAATTGTGTTGTTTATTTGTTATTTCCTACTAGAGGTCCAGTGCATGAATTTGTACATGGGTGTGGTCTGGCTGGCCCACCCCAATGGGGGCCCAGTGGGTTGGGATAGCAGTGGGAGGGGCCATGGGCAGTTGGCTGGCTGGCCCTATCCCCAATCAGCTCCCAACACCTCAATTGGGGGTGGAGCCAGTGAGGTGGGGGGCCAATCAGGGCCCAAATCAGGCTGGTTGGCTGCCACAGTATGTGTCATAGCCACTGGTCATTCTTGTCATTCCAGTCGCTGGGTAGATATAGATATAGATATAGATATAGATATAGATATAGATATATGGCCTGGAGCATGAATTAATGCATGGGTGATGGGTCCGGCCAGCCTGGTCAGGGGGAGGGAACATGGATGGTTGGCCAGCCTGCCTGCTAGTCAAACTCCTGGTAGAGGGGACAATTAGCATATTAGTTTTTTATTATATAGGAATACACTGAGTGGCCAGATTATTATGCATTCAGAGATCATAATAATCTGGCCATTCAGTGTAGTTTCATGTCAATGTTCACTTAGTAGCCTTTCAAGTAACTTCTAATGCTTTTATGATATTTAATAACATAGTTAAGTGTGATATTGCATCTATTGTATATTTTACTATTTCTCTAAATATTTCAAATATAAATGTTAATGGTTCCTGTATGTGTATGACTGCATAGAGAGAACACTAATACAATTGAATTCATGGCACATGAAATATTATCTTAGCTCCTTTAAATATGGCCTCTGCCTGGCCAGCATGGCTCAGTGGTTGAGCATCAACCTATAAACCAGGAGTCATAGTTCAATTCTCAGGGCACATGCCTGGGTTTTGGGCTTGATTCCCAGTGTGAAGTGTGCAGGAGGCAGCCAATCAATGATTCTCTCTCAACATTGATGTTCCTCTCTCTCTCTCCCCCTCTCCCTTCTCTCTAAAATAATAATAATAAAAAAATATGGCCTCAAATGAACTTCCCAACAACCTCTTAGTCAGGTGCTTCCCATTGAATAATAGAGGAGCCTAAGACTCAGGAAATAATTTGCAGAGTTGGGGTCAGAGACATAAATGTTGATGGGGAAAGGAGAAAGCCAAAAACATTACTTTGTTGCTTTATCATGAACAGATCAACTGGTAGCTGAAACTCAATTTTAGCTTTGGTACAGCTGAATGTAATCGATTAAAATCAAGTGGGTTGTGTCCTTAAGACCAGCTATGATTTTTAGTAATAGTATCCTAAGTTTTGTGAGTCAGAACTTTCTGTCTGAAGGACTATAAACAGTTTTGTAGATTGGGCAAGAATAACACAAGATGAAAGGTGCACATTGCTCTTGAAGAGAAATGCCGACATAATCTTCAGTGACCATTGCTCACTCTGGAGGTTACTGGTAAGGGCTTTCTTACTTGTGTCCTGGAAGTTGACGTCATTGCCATTGTATGCGTTCTTTAGCTTGTTGGTCATCACACGGAGAGCCATGATCTGCTGCCTGATGAAAGTGTCGGGCCGGGTGATGTCCACGTCCACCTCAGGATTGTTGATCTGGTTGGTTAGCCCATCATTCATGATCTCAGGCAAGTATCTGTAGGACACAGAGGGAGAGGACTGATGGAGGGTGAAGCAGGAGGGACTGGAAACTGGATTATGCCAAGCTGTTTCTAACAGTGAGCCAAAACCTCAGTAGAATCAGGGCCCAGTTCCTGGCAAAAAGGCCAAAGTAAAAACATGAAATAAATGTTCTCAGATGAAGATTGGCTAAAATAGCTTCATAGTAGGTTTTTTTTTTTTTTTTTTTTTTTTTTGTTTTGTTTTGTTTTGTTTTGTTTGTTTTTGGCACTGAATTCTTAGATAGGCTTGCCTACAGATGAATGCACAATTGGGGACTTACAGAAATTATTACTTTAAATTATCTATTCTTTCTCTCTCCATCCCAAATGTTAGATGCTTAAGTCAGGAACTTGATAGCTTGCTCAACAGTTCTGTTAAGTTGGTTAGTAAGAACTAAACTTGTCAATTATTTATGATCTTACAGAGCTCTCGTGTATAAGGCTGTTCTTTTTCAATCGAGGAGTCCCTGCCCTCATATTTTTAATCAGAAGAATCTTCAGATAAAAATAACCATCTTTGGGAAGTTTGAGGAGTCACCAGTGATTGTTGAAATCCTTGAGATGTCCATTAGGGTTTTTATTTTACAATAGAATCTTGGATCTAATTCAATATTGGGTAAAATAGAGGGTAAATCAAATGGCTCTTCAATTTTCTTGTACTGAAATGGAAAATTTTATATTAATATTTCTTTTACTTGTACTAAAATACCAAAATTGTCTGTTCTTCAAAGTCAACTACCTGAGCTGCCCAGTTGTATTTATACTGGGGAGACCAAAGATCTAATAAAAGTGCTTGGAGCCCTCTCTGACTCCATACTCTCATGGCCTGTGTTTCCCTTCTTCCTACTCTTCTTCCACCCACTTCTTCTCTCATTTCCCATGTCCCTCTGGAGTGCAGATAGCTAGAGTAGCCTTACACTGACTTCCCTGTTCTGTCTTTCCCTTTTAGTGCAGTCTGAACATTCTGCCTGATTAATCTTCATGAAATACAGCTTTCATCTTATCGTTCTTCTGTTTTAAAATTTTTGATGATAGTACCTAATGTCCATTGAGAGCTTATGGAAGCCAGGCGCCGTGCCAAGCACTTGGACATGCATTTTAAAATCCAGTCTCCCAGCAAATGGAGGAGGTGGTACTATTTTATCCCCATTTTGTAAAGGAGAAAACTGAGGCATAAAGAGGAAAACATAACTGTGTCAAGTCACAGAGCTAATAGATGGCAAAAGCCTGGGCAGCCTGGCTTCAGAGCCCACGTGCCCCAATACTGCACCATGCTGCCTGTCAATGCTGAGCTCCGATCCACACTTTCTACCTCAGCAATCAACGCCCACTTCCATCCCGTCTCCCCTTTCTTATGCTGTAGTGCTTGCTGTAAAGGACCTCCCTTGCCTTACAGAACCCATCCCCTGTACACATCTGATGCATGCCTGTCCCTGTTACACCTTATCCTTGCTTACAATCCCTTTCTCCCTTAGCTCCCAAATATCCTGAAGCCTCAGGTCAGTCTTCACTCTCCCCTTAAGATATTTTCCAGATTTTAGGGATATTCCCATTCCTCTGTAGGACCCCCAGGCTCAGCTGGACATTTTGTATACAGCTTCAAGCCATCTGCTGAGGGAGTGAGGTGAGGCTGAAACCAGCCTGAGTTCTGTGCTCATAAAGCTATGAATCTGCAGAGCACTTGTCAACAAAACTGTTTCCTTTTACTTGGCTTTTGTTGGAATCCTTTTATTTTAGAAAATTTCAATATATACCAAAGTAGAGACAAAAGGAAACAGTCCCCATGTACCAACCTGGGTCCTTTTTTCTAACTCCTGAAAAGGCTCTATATTTGTTTGTGCCATTGCAGGAATTAGAAAAAAGGACACAGGTTGGTACATGGGGACTGTTTCCTAACCCTGGTATGAAACATGGTTACCCTCAAAGGGGTAAGAAAGAGGGTTGAGGTAAGAGACTATTTATAAAGGTGTAGACAGGGTAGAAGGAAACCAGCACAGGGTATCGGAGAACCCTGGGGAGCAACTGCACAAAAACTGAAATCACAGACTGGGGCCAAATGACGAGAACCACCATTAAGTTATGATTCCCTGACCTCTGTAGTGCCTGCTTCTGACCTCTGGCTGCTGTCTCCTATTGGCCCAAACCAAGTGGAAGCCAGCATGCAAGGGGCCCAGGTAATACAGTTGGTAGAGGTTCTCCCTCAGGGCAGACATCAAGGTGGAGGTCTGAAGAGTGGTTCTCAGGGGAATCAGGACATCAGGCGCAGACAACTGGTAGGCTGGGCACCAACTGCTCTTATTATCATTCTTTTACTTCCTCTATTTACATTCTTTTACTGTTACTTGAAAGCTGAAAAACACTTCCTTTGTGTGTGTGTGTGTGCGCGCGCGCTTCCTGTTTACATATTCTTATACAATACACTTAAAATTGTTTTCTTTCCTACTGGTAATATTCCAAGTTCCAGAAACAAAAGGCTCTATCCATCAGTCTCCATAGGAAGAAATAGAAATGCACCGAGAAACTTACATTTAAGCCATTTGTTCAACGATTGAAATCTTACACATGATATGTTTGTGTATGAATTGGCTTACTCATTTTAAATCAGAGGTCCCCGAAGAAGCTCCGTGTCTTTACCCATATTTTGAACAAAATCTATTTCCCAGGGTTCACTACATAATGAACATTAAAGCACAAAGTGCATCAAATATTCTTTTCCAAAAGGCTTCACAATATTTACTGCCTTAAAAATGTTCTAATTGAAATTTTCAAAAAGTCATGGAACTCTGTCTCTTCATTTTTGCAGGAAAGAACTTCTATGCTGCCTCTTGATATAATCGATAGATGAATAATTCTTATGGGATTCTGATATTGTTTTCCTGATCTAACTTTTAACATGTGACCTTGGATTGACTACATATTTGACATTCTATTATATGTGTCGGGCCGTGTGACCTCTACCTAATTATGAAAGCCCATTGGAATAAACAATAGCCAGTGCAGGCTAGCCTTTGCTGGTACTGGAGCGGAGAGGGGCTGAAAGTTGACCGTCCCTGTTGCCCCTCAATGTTTAGGACAATGATTCTGGCAGCGGGGCCTGTGCTGAGTCAGGGGGAGCTTTGTCTCTTTCAGATGCTGTGCGCACTGCATGGCTGGCCGAGACTCATTTATCAGACGCTGACTGCTCTAGCTTACATTGGGAATGGTACCCTTGGGAGTCTGAGCATACAGGAACAATGAGAGACTGCCAAATACACCCAGCCTCTGACTGTGCCTACTGACGCTCACCCACTTACGATAAAAACAAGGAACAACGCTCCCGTGTCCTCAGGAATCTTTTCTCCTTTCTATGTATTCAAAGGGTAACTCTAGAGACAAGTGGAACTTAAACTGAAAAACACTGTGGAGCAGGAAAATGGCCATTTTGTTACTCCACAGTACATCCTGAGGACAAATCTGTCGGTGGCCGGGGTGCAGCCTGAAGGATCTATGGGAGCCCAGCCCAGCTCAGCTCCAGGATCCCATGAGCCCATTTATTTGTTCCCTTTCGTGGTTGATGTCTTTTTATAATGATCATATATTGCAAGAATGGATATAGCTTTGAGCTCATACTATTCTTCCCACTATTAGGTTTTGCACCAGCCCTTTGGCATGACAACGTTCTATGTTCGTGCCCTCACAGTTCTGGGAGACATGGAAAAGAAGGAAACTCTTGCTACAGGTAGCTTGGGTTCTGAGGCAGGATGCACATTGACCTCGGGCAGAGAGAATCCAGAGAGAAGAACAAATAGGGTTGTCATCATTTTTTAATGTTTCATTCTGTGGGGTGGCAAGAGGGTGGTACAGTCAAGCATAGTGTTCTCATCCTGGTTCCTTTTTATTTTGCAATATAGCATGTATAGAGACTAAATCTTTGGCAATTTTGCAGAATTGTTGTTTCTCACATCTGCTATGGACTGGATGCATATGCGTCCCTCCAATTCATATGTTGAAAACCCAATGCTCAAGGTGATGCTATTATGGATGAGGCTTTGGGGAGCCATGAGGCAAAGCTCTCAGGACTGGTATTAGTGCCCTCATTAAACAGGGGCTAGAAAGCTAGCCTTGTCCCTCTGACAGCTGAGGACACAGTACATCTGCCCAGAAGAGGGTCCTCACCCAGCAATGCTGATCTTGGACTTCCAGCCTCCAGAACAGTGAGAAATAAATTTCTGTTGTTTGTAAGATGCTCCATTTGTTTTGCTATGGTGGCCAGAACAGACTAAGACATCTCATTTCATAACATGATGCCGGCTTCCTAGATCACATTCAAAAACTATAGCTGATTAGGGCACAAGAGCCCCCGGGGAATGCGAGGGGGATAATACAGTAACCTTGTGGGTGGCTGCAGGCTCTGTGTTGAGACCCTGCCTGACAGAGTTGACAGTCTGTGTCACCTGAGAGACATCAGACCTGAGAGACATCAGACCTGAGAGATAAAGACGTGTGCTCACAGAAGCATCCCACAGGCCAGCCACAGCACCTGTTATTGGCAACATTCAAAATCACTCCGTCAGTTGATACTTCCAGAAAGACCCTATTGATATCTGAACCTGCTTGCTGGGAGGTGAAACACACTCACTCATCAATACTCAGCGTTTCTCATCTCCACATTAATGCTGGTAGTTTTGAAGAAAGGAGTTGCCTAGGGAGGGAATGGGATACACACCTCTCAAGATCTAATGGGATTTGAAAGTCAGTCAAGTCTGAGAAGTGGGCACTTGCAAGGAATGTTATCTTTGTGGTGCCCAGCGGAGTGGGCAAGAGTCCAGGTAGAAGCTGGGTCAGGAATGGGGAGCAATGGGGTCCCAAGGTGCTGGCCTGGGTTTGCTTTTGGGTGACCCTTCCTCTGACTGTCCTGGCATTGAGCACACTTTCAGATGGCAAAAGCAGTTTCAGTTCTGTTTATTGCCACAAATGAGCTCTGTTCAATATTCTA